TTCTTAAATTTAAATTTAAGATTTTATATAAATAATATTTTCACCCAAATTTATGATTTTATTTTATTTATATTTTATTTAAATAAAAAAATTAAATTATCAAATAAATAAAAAAATTCATGTCAAATGTTTAATCCCCTGCCATGTCAGCATGACAAGGCAATATTTTGCCATCCAAGCAGCCAAGCGGGGTGTGTCCTCAACGGCAGTTAAGTCAGGCGGGCAATCCAAACGGCAGTTAAGTTGGCGTAAGAAGAAGGGCTTAATTGCTTTGATCCCAGAGTTTAAGGGTTTAACTGCATCAATTAAAGTTTAGGGGCTTAATAGTGATTCTGGGGTTAGTTCAGGGGCTTAACTTATGGTTTTGCCTTTTATATTTCTGTGAATATTTTATCTTTGTCTTTGTTTTTATTAGATAAATCCTCCAAACTTTATGAGAATTGATCAGGAACCCCTTAACTTTTTGACCTTGATAAAATCAGTCCAACTAGGATGGAAAAGAGTCCAAAGACTCTCGAAAAAGGAACCCTTGAATTGGAGATTGCCTGTGCGTTCAAGGGATCGTTAAACAATCTAACAGAGACAGAATTGCACAACCCTTCTTTTTGCTAACTTAATTAATTATCATGAAAATAAACTAATTAAGTATTCCAGTAAGAATTTAAACTAATTGTTTTGAAAATAAAGTCATTAAACATTATTTTTTTTTATAATCATTAGAAGAAATAAGTTGTATCCTTTTTTATTTGAAAACAGATATCATTTCGTTCCGTTTATTTTGATTTTTGAAAAATAAGGAAACAAATAAGGATTTTTTATTATTATTTTAAAAGGGTGATGATATATAAATCACGACATTCATATATCATTTTTTTTTATGTAAGTTTCACATTTAATAAAATGAATAAATATATTTAATATTATAAGTCCTAAATAAATTAAAAAAACTAATTATTTAAATGACATGTAAAATTATAAAAGATAATATAAAAAAATTGTTTCTTAATCATTTTCCATTTTAAAATCATCATTAACACCATTGAGTAGTAGTTCATTGCATCTAATTGTTGGCTTGATGCCCTTTTTGGGATGAAAAAACCAAAAATCATTAAACCAAACCTGCATCCTTCACAACTTGTAATGACATTGGAATAGTCAATTTTATGGGCGAATAAGGAGATGTTTCAAATTCAAAGTGCAGCTGAAAGTCTTAAACTTCGGAGGAAAAACATACTAAACCATCAACTATTGAAAGGACCAAAAGCAATTCCAGATGACAGGTTAAATGCTCACATTGTGGTACTGAAGAACCAGTCTACTTCATCCACAAATATTATTGATTGAGAAACTGGGCATGGACTTAGAGGAACTTCCGATATGGCCTGCCTGCATCTTCGTCCTGCATATGCTGTTGCCAGAAATACCAGCAGCATGAATAGAAGTGAAGGAAAAAAGGAGGAAGAAGAGACTCAAACAATAAGATCATGAATGCAAGACAATTCCACTCTACTAGAAATTAAACAGAAGTCAATATTCTCCAGTGTGATGTTTAGGGATCTCAAAAATTCATATGCAGTAAATTTATGGAATTGACATTACATTCCAGACAAAAGTGAAATGTAAATTAAAAACTTCTCTTGGATACTTGCAACAATAATTCATAAAGCCAACCAAGCAGAGTTTAATCTAGCAACAGTTACAAGACAATGAACTTAAACTGGGGCCAGAATGTACATAACAGGAAAATAATAGTAGAAAATCTTATAATTATAAAGCTGATGGATACCCTGTTGTTAAGGAAAATTCTACTTCCATGCAATCAGCAAACCGATTTGATCATAACATAATTCAGCGCAAGGTCAAACGATTGACCGTTCCAAAGAAGGAATTAGATACTCATCCCAAATCTTTAAAAGGTAAAATACATCATGGGTCCTCAAACTTTCATCAAACTTTTTCTTATTTCTCTGTCATCCTCAATTCATTCTGTTCTGCTCTCTTCATCCTATAAATCTCTTCTAAAGTGGGGAAATCTAAGATTAAAATAACCAAAAAAAAATCCACTCAATACCACTAAAGGGCAAAAAAAATAGTTCAGATATAGCAGTTAAATTCTATACATTGAATTCGACCTAGTGTTTTTCAGGTTCTAGTATCACTGGATGAACAACTGAATAGTTGAATGCATCTTAAAGAATTAGAGTAGAGGCAACACAAATGTGAATGATCAGACCTTTACTTCTTCAGATTAGAGTTAAACAGTGTTGTAATCCTAGTTCACTTTAGGCTATGCTTTGCTGGACATAAATACTATTCCTTCGCCAATGCACAAAAATCATGTAAAAGTAAAATCAAGATTAGTAGTACATTACAACCTAGGAATAAGGTTGGAATGCTATTATCAACTTGAAACTTCCCCCTAGACTTTAGCTGTTTTTACCTTATATCCTAATTTAAAAGAATATGGCCAACGGCCAACCTTATTCCATCAAGCTCCTAGCTTGTCATTTGTCTAAGTACTCTTTTGATTTTCCCTTATTTCATGCATTGATCAAAGAAAAACCATTCCATCCAACCAAACATAGCTAGGATAAACTTCATGTAGATCTCAATTATACAATTCATACCAGTTCTTTCCTTTTAACGTGGGTATTTTATTTCGAGAGAAAAGCAACACAATCTAATCCATCATAAGAGTAACACAGCAAAGAATCTACCTAAGCATTAGAACAGCAATAGATTTCTGAATTTAGATCTAACCCTAGGATTACGACCGGAACGATCAATTTGCTTCAAAGAACTCAAAATCCCCAAAATTTTGATTTACAGCCCAAAATCAAGCTAATCAAGCTAACCAAACAAAACCAGTATTAAACAAAAAAAAATTAATGAAGATCAAGAAATTACAGAAGATTTCGACGGAAAATGAAAACTCTAACAGCAGAATCAAGAGTAAAACAACAGATCCACGAAAACAAATGACAATAAAATATCAAATCAATATGCAGAAAAGATTAGGGAGGAGTTTACGAATTCTTTGACGATTCCCTTGTAGATGAAGATGGGGACGGCAATTCCGAACAAGCCGACAAGGGCCCAGTTGCGGCGAGTCCAACGGAAGTTGTATTCGAGATTCTCTCTCGCACTGCCCCACTCCTCTATGAACCTGTTCTTGTTCGCCTCCATTCCTCCCCCCATTTTCGCTCTCTACTTCTTCTCGATTGCAGAGATTCACAGCTCCTCCAGTTTTTGAGGTTGCCTGTGTTCTTCCAAAGGGACTGTTTGGTTGCAGCTTCCAAGTTCCAAATGGGCCGTTCTTTTTTCCATATCAAAAAAATGGGCTGTTCAGCCTGTTCTTAATAAGTTTGGCAGCTCCTTCGGCCCTAATGAATAGAGATGGGCTTAGACAAAATTAAAGCCCAAATATGAATCATATCTTATTCCAAAGGCAAAACCAAATGTTAAGCCTTTAGACTTTCCTCATTTTCTCACAAAAGCCCTCGAAGAAAAAAAAACTGGTATGCAAGCCCTAAGCGCTTAATTTTGAGCAAATTAATTAGCCTTGAGTTAATAGTAGAATCAGATGCAGTCATGTGGGTTGAACAATTGTTTGTTTTTTTAGCTTACGAGACAACTTTTTTACACTTAGATATGGATGTATTTCCTTTTAAAAATTTCAAGAAAATTCTCAAAATTAAGAGTTAAACAATTAAATCTTTTGCCACATCAACATCTAAATGTAAATAAATTGCCACACAAGGGGAAAAAAATGAATTCAACTTACATAACCACAATTGATTTCATCATTAACACAAGACATTAAGGTTATATTTGATACAGCTGGCTAAAAGTCATTTTAGATTTCAAAAGCTCCAACTGTACTAAATACTATAATTTGTGAAAAATGCTACAATTTCTCACAAGTTAGTATTTCATTTATTTCATTATAAATCTCATAAGCGCCAAATTAGTGCTTTTACAAGAAAATCTTATTTGGGTTTTAGTGAAATTAATATATTATTTCTATTTTATCATTATTTTTCTTTTTTATTTATAAAAACAACATTTCTACAACAGTTTCTTCTCAACAAAACTTTTATTAAAAATTGCAGCCATACTAAACAGGCACTTAGATGTTTATTTGTCACTTTTTTCTTTGAGGACTTATGAGAGGAAGTGAGAAAAGTCTAGGGGATTAACACTAGTTTTCGCCATTCCCAAATTCCAAAGTCCCCGCATTATAATTAGGGTTTTAGTTCCAGAGTCTACTGGTAGAACGCTAGGTGGGAAATCAAGGACGCTTCAGCAATGGCATCTAGGGTTTCGCTCAAGAGCAAAGGCAAATCAGGGAAGGGATCGAAAGGCGCAGAGGATAAATCCACCGTTCAGCACCTCAAGGAATGGAGCACCTGGACGATGAAAAAGGCTAAAGTGATTACCCATTTCGGCTTCATTCCTCTGATCATCATCATCGGCATGAACTCCGAGCCCAAGCCACAACTTTATCAGCTCCTCAGCCCTGTCTGATTCGATCGCGATTTCAATTTATCTCTAGTATTCGAATCTACATGGTGCTATGTTTTTGAGATTCGGTGTTCTTATGCGACTTATGTATGGATAATTAGTTTTTATCATAATATAATTTTGGATCTTTGATCATTGGTATTTGGTTATGGATTTACTTCTATCAATAACTGAGCTAAATATTTGATTTTGTTTGATTCATGTGCGGATGTGTGTGATTTTGTGTATGCACTCAGGATGAAGAAATTGCCTTTTGTTTTTCGTTCCTTAGGTGAATTAAGAGGAAGGATTATTTATTATTAGATGGGTTTTTATTTTTTTTTTTCCTTATGTCTATGCATTAAAAACTTCTGCATTTTTTAAAGATGATATTTACTGGTGGAATTCATCTTGATTTATGGTGATATTGTCTCGAATTATTTCGAGAGATTTCCTATGTTTCACATTGATTTTGTATACTGAGAGAGATGTGGAAACTGGGAAAAAAGTCAGATTAGGTTCAATATGCTGTTATTCTTTTCTGGAATTTCAAACTTCACAAATAATAATAATAATAATAATAATAATAATGAACTGAGTTATTGGCTATGGTTTTCACTGGTTTATGTGCTTATTAGAAGAGTCTGCTAGGCTGCAAAACAGATATCCTTCATGGAAAAAGTCTCCAATATCATGGACTTGCCACTCATCGAAGAGTTTTTGTTTTGCAGTTTGTTATTTTGTAATTAGAATCATAGGCTATGTATTAATTGGAAAAACAGACCTCAGGCTTTCAGTTATAGCCCCTTCTGTTGTAGCCTTTATCTTTGATCTTCTCTGTTAATTTGCTCTTGAATGGATGCTTGCTTACTCTTGATGGTATTACCATTATTCGCTTCCTCTGTATGATTTGGATATAACAACAGAGAAGATTCAGATCAAAATGTACTCTGTTATATTCTTCTTCATTTGGGGTTTTGGTTGTGTTAGCAATTGAA